CAATTTAAAAATTTGTAGAAATTCTCTTATTTTAAATGATGTCATTGTTTTTATAGTCTGCAAGATCAGAGGTGTTTAAAAAGATGTTGGAATCAGACAACTTGAAAGCTTCAGTTAGACAAGTCGAGACAATAACTCTCTCAGATCTGAAACATGAAGAGTTAGAAGTTTTCGTTGAGTTCATCTACAGTGAGGGATCTGTGCTTTCAGAGGAAACAAAGCAACACGTTAGGTCACTCTATATTGCAGCCGACAAATATGAGATTCCGCATCTACGCGACCTATGTAGAACCGAGCTTATATCATCTCTTAACTTCTCGAATGTCCTCGACGTTTTTGCGATTGCCCAAATACCTTTTGACAAATCCCTTAGTGACGCTGCTCTCACAGTGATCAAAATATGTAAAAGTACAATTTGTAGCTCTTTTGAGTTCAAGGTTTTTGTCGTCAATCACCCATATCTTACCGTAGAGATAATGAAGGCTATTTCCGAGGGTGGATATTGTCCTCACTGTCGTCGCCATTGATTAGTGACAGTGCTTTGGTTACATTACAACTTACAAGCTTTCGTTGCCTCATCACTTTGACAAGCTCTTAAATTCGTATTATTATTTTCGTAGAATATTTGTTTCTTCGGTTTTCCATGCTTGCCAAATCTTTAGAAAATAATATTTCTGTTTTATTAAATAAATTCTCTTTCTCATTGATTAAAGAGAACACACACTACAAGAAAACATATTGATTTTTGACCATGGTCAAAACTTTTCCTCCCATATGATGAAAATTTGAATTGGTTGAAATATGATCAACATTTTTTCTACTAATATAAATGATCAGTAAATAAGATAGTCAAAATATTATAACCAAATATCGACTAAAACAAATTTTGGTCGAAAATTAGTCAGATAATTTTTTACGAACATTACCTGACATAAATTGGTCAAAACATTATCGATCATATATCGACCATATATGTAGTCCTTTGTACGTCGTTTATAATGGTCGAAATATAATCAAAAATTTCGACCAACTATTGTTAATAGCCATGGTCGATTAAAACAATTGTAGTGACTTATCATTTTCGTGGGATATTTGTTCCTTACCATGTATTGGATGAGATAATGCATTGGTGAAATATCAATCGATTTAGATAGAGATGAGTTGATCTAAACTAGTTTAATAGTATATGAGTTG